TTTAATACAAATGAACGTTATTAATGTCCGTACGTGTTACCAAATCCAAGCACCCAAATTTTTCAGTCTGTTTTTCTTATTTTCAGTTACCGTCAAGTGCGCAGTAATTGGTGCCTGCGCAGTAATTGGGTCATTTACCCCTATCGCGAGTATGTATGCGATTCGTGCGTGCGCTTTATAACGTTTTTAAATATGATGCTCTGTAGCACAGCATCATCTGAGAATAATTTTCTCTGTAAAGTGTGAGTGTAAATTAGTCATTGGTCGTAATTTTATCGAATAGAGGCCCAGTTCCAACTCGAGAGTAGCGTAAGAATTTATACATTATACCTGCTAATGACACAAAAATTCTAAAATTAGCAGCTCTGTATAGATCTCCGTACTATTACATAGACGCCATTCAAAATCGGTATGCGGCAGTAGTTGCATCTTTTTCCGATAAGAACGCTACCAAAGATGAAGGATTTTTTCATGTTACAGTCGAGGTTACAATATAAGTACATGGTAGAGGGAAAGATCAGTCTTAAACTTACGGAAAAAAGAATGAAGGAATAAATATAGGTTTTATATATATATTAGAGTGCTCTACGTCCGGCTCCTTTGATAAGGGCACTACTATGGGCACTTAGCACTTGGGAGAAGGACAAGGAAAGGGATGGGAGGCCTCTCATTACTGGAAGGGGGGGGGGGGTAGAGGGAAATTAGGCAATTTTTGCTGCGAGAAGGTCTCCTAAAAATCCTCCTCGAGGAGCATTGCGTGGTGAAAAATCACAGAGGTAAGTACTTGCCCGAAAAGTCGCACTGGCCGGGAATTGAACCACCGTCTCCCGCGTGCCAATCCACGACCTAGCCGATCGAGCCACCGCGCGCTCTGAATAAATATATAGGTACTCTGTAGAACGAAGTAAGTAAAAAGAGGCGCAAACAGATGGTCGCACGTCGATCAACAATTATCGCTCGAGAGACTTGGCTGCTCCAAAATGTAATACAAAGTATGTAATATACGGTCCACGATGGTGATAAATAAAAAAGCGCAAACCAAAGAAGAATCTCTCTTCCTCGCCTGCAAGTCCCCGTTATACGGAGGAAACGAAACAAGAGCCCGAGCGAAAGAAAAAGAGAGAGGAGCACATAATATAGATTCCTGTTTGTGTGTACAGTATGTGTAAGATAGGTACACAAATACATACAACGTTTACGTTGGGGACTTACCGTGCGAAAGGCTGCTCCTCGACCTCGTAGAGCTCTTCGAGCGGCTCCTTGGCCATGAGCCGCTCGAGCCGCTCCGGCGTGGGAGCGATCTGGCCTGGGGTGCTCGTCGTCTCAAAGTGGCCCTCTTCTGCCATCCTCGCGCTGCTGCTACTGCTGCTACCTGGTTATCCTCCTCGGGTCCGTGATAGAACCCACCGGCAGCAGCACCCCCCGAACCACCAGCTCTTTTCTTTACCTCCTTAGATATACTGCTGCGACGGATTATCCAACTCAACTGTTGCCTGTGGTGTACTATGCACTCCCTCCTACACCGCCCCCACTGTTATATTATTATTATTCATGCGGCATGCAATCGCTGGCCCGTACAATATTATAACCCTTGTTTGTTTACTCGATAGGGTAGGAAAGTACGGTTACCTTGGCGCTTAATCTACACACACACTGTAGGTAGGTATATTCAAAACACTCGCGAACGCCGCCCGAACAACGATTGGTGAACATTTTTCGGGCAAACACACACACATTACCATATCGATACTCTATAACCTATACGCGGTATAAGAGCTCAGGTAGCGAGCAGCAACAGCTGTTCCTGATGCACCAGTTCATCGCATGCGCTCGTTGAATCGCGACTTAACGGCTGCTGAGGTAGGTATAATAGATGTTATAAGTACATGCAGATGACAACGGCAATAACGATATCGTTTACTTGGCCGTGCACTGATGCTAGCTATAGTGCTACTACAGATTCACACACACACTACACGCACGAGCTGCACAGGCTGCACTCTGACTGACCCAACGGCTCTGTGTCGGAGCACTTGGAGCTCGGAGCTGCGCTAGTTGTCCGCCGCCGTTCCGCAAACCTTTGCACACTCCGTATTCTGTCTGTATAGCAGCTGTTGCCGCCATCGTCGTCGCCACCCACCACCCAGCCGCCGCTGCTACTGTCGAGAGGAGAAGGGGGAGCCGTACTCAACACACACCTTGGAACTGAGGCTTTTACGGTACTCGCTCGGTTGAGATCGGTTGGCTTCGCGATGCTGTGGTTGTGGTATAAAAAAGCATACACATATATTTACAGGTCTACATGATTAGTCACTCACTCTCACTAATCACACTACGCTTGTAATCATTGCACCTTTAACTTTAATGTTTTTTTTGTTGTTTTTTTTGAGATTCAAGAAAAACTTTCTTTCTTTTTTTAAAGATATTTTTAACAATATTCCAAATACATATAATCTAACTAAGCACATCTGACGTTCTTATCCTCGTAACCGGTACTTTATCTCATTATTCGGATGTACCTACCTATCAGTGATTAATTACTTCCTGAGCTTCCGAAAGTATCGCAAATGAAGTTGCAAAAATTTAAGGTTCCTTTCCATGATCACGCTACATTGCTACTAAGTCCGTTTAGTTTCAACTTGCTGCATTAACGCTGGAACGAAGAATATATGTAATAAGAGTTTAAACGATGTAGCGCGAGCATGCAAAGGTCATACTGGACAATCAAGATAACGCTTTGCTGATCAACAGAAATGAAATACTTACTAAAAACAAAAGTTTTGCAATCATAAGTGGTACCGAAAAGAATATGACATGAAATTGATGACCTTTATTATTAAAATAACAGATTTTATTTTTAAATAAGAAGGATACACATATTTTTATTTCGAAACATGTCAGTGCAGTTAATGTTGGTAAGCGTTTTAAATAATCGTTGAATCGATGATTCATCAACTATGTAATTGGCTAATTGCTTAATGTGACAATTTTTAAATGAAAAATTTATCAGTAATGTCTACAGAGAGTTAAAAAAAACTTATTTTGTAGGTTTAACACTAAAATTGGTTTAATTGTTGGTTTTTTTTTATCAAATCACTCGTACAGCACGTAAATGTGTAAAAATTCAAATACTACAAAAATTTTTGGATCAGCTCTAACTACTTTTTGCACGATTATATAATTATAATTGTTAAATAGTGCCATGGCATTAAAAGGGTGTATTTTAAAACAAATATTATGAGATTAAGGTACCTGTGTGTATGTATGTATATAATATATGTAAAACTTGTAGTGTGATAAGGTCAGGCAATTTAAGAGTATCTCCAAGTGCCCTAGTATAGGGAAAAAAAAGAGCAACTGTTTGCAGCAAGATGCTGTACAGACAAAGTAAGTTATTGTACATACGACGACACGGTGTGCGTATCACATGCTATGGGCATGTGGGCAGAGAGTACTGAGCTACATATGTCTACATAAATTTATCATAAAGATACAATAGTACAGCACATATACCTGTATTAATATAGTATAGGCATGTATGTGTCTTTGATGACTTTTCAATGAGCTCGTGCTGTAAGTAAGTATTTGCTCCTCGCAGAAGAAGAGAAAAGAGATACAAGTCTACGAGAGTTGATGGACGGGTATGCAAGTGCGAGCTCGCGCTAATATGTGTATAAGGTATACATACACCTATAATAGATTTGTACAAGCACAGCTGATACGTGTGCATATAAGTATAAGGCATATACCTATGTGACCACTGACCATGCATACGTGCATACCTGCCTATATATACCTAATTGCGTCGATAGCATTTTTCAGAGACCAGAGATTGACAATTGAGAGGGACGAGTTTGGTGAAGAAGATTATGACGATACGGGCACGACATATTATAAGTGCAAAATGATTCATGGCCCCACCTTTACCTCACTGCAGATAAGTATAACACAATTCATAGATGTACTAGCTATTTATTGCTGCGTAATAAATACGGGCTACGCCGCTAGCGGGGAGCCACAACTTTTTTTTCCATTTCTTTGATATTGAAAGTTTGATCTCAATCGCGTAAATAAAATATCATGTAAAAGTTTTGCTAAACGCTTTTAGTATAAAAATAAGACGCAATAACTTTTATTACTATTATTATTATTGTTATTATTATTATTATTATTATTATTATTATTATTACATTGAAGTTGACTGTAAATTCATGATTGAATTGTCAAACTTTTTTCAACATCTCGTTTTCTGCTGCCAACTAATTAAGGCAAAATTTGTATTTCTCCATCTTTTTTTAAAGAGAAAAAAAGGCAGACTAAATTATGTCAGAGATCACCACCGCATAACCCTGTTGCAAACACCTCTTGTAAGAAACTTTAGCAAAAATCTTGTGCCCATTGTCTCGATAAAACACACAGAGTTTACGCACACTCAATACATGACGCTATTTCCGATAACTTTCACCTTTGTTAAGATAAATCGGGATGGGGGCCCCACACTCGATGTTTTTTAGCAGATGACCAGCAGCTTTAAAAATAATCGAAAGTAATCCTTCATTTTTTGCAATTTCGTGCGGATTGAGCATGTGTTTGTTTCGACTCTTTCGAAGCGCAGGGCCCAGTAATTGCTCCTTAAAGCATGAAATCAGAAATGAAAAGACATACAAAATCTCGTAGTTGATACAACGAGCCACGCTTTCTCGTTCGATTATTGGCTATTCATGTGATGGTTGTACACACACACACACACGAAATATGAAACTGTTTCGATCTTTTTCTGCTCCGCTCCAAGCGCTCAAGTTATAAGTACTTACCCTGATTGTGTTGCTTGGGTGCAGTGCAATGTGCGGCAATGTGTGTCGCACGCGCTGAACTATCTATATACTATTTAATACTTGTAGGTACACGCACATTCGATTTGGCCGACCTTCACCCGACTATTGCTCCGCATTACCTTACTACATCATGTATTATATACACTATGCTCGCTCCTGCCTGACGCTATTACGCCCCGCATACCTGTATGCCTGATGCATGATTACGCTTGTTACATAGACGGCTAACCAGTCAGTCGCGCCCGCGCTCGTTCTCCTTGTGTGTTATGTGGATACTTGTGTGTGTGTGGGTAGGTGGTTGTAGTATAATTTACGGTTAACCAAACGGAAAGTGAGGAGAAAAGCCGAATGAAAGAGACAGAGAGAAAGCTATGTCACTTCTCCTGCAGCCGCGAATACTCATACACATACACATAACGCATATACATATTTATTATGTAGGTACCTTATGCCTAAATAATGGCAAATAGGTACAGTCGTGTACAGTATAGCTGCTGCTGTAAGGAGGTCGGGAGAACGCTTACTCTATTCTGTTTTGATCTGTTGTCTACTCTCCACAGTAACGTTATGCCTGCAGTTGATAAGTAAGCGCATTTATATATATATATATATACACCGGATTCCTCGGCGTCTACCTCCGTACCGTCGCTGAAGGAGGAGTATAAAAGGATATCGAGCTGAGGCCACCGATCAACAATGTGTTAAAAGATGGTCTATAGTTGATACGCATGTTTACGCCACAACGCTCCGTGTCAACAACTGACAAATGAGAGTTTAGTAGGAAGTCAAACTAGTCTATGGTTATAAGCGATGTCAATAGGTATTCGGGTATATTTTTTTAACAATCATTAGGCATGACTACTTTCACAACTATCGTTTATTATTATTTTTACCAGAGCGAAAAGTCGCGAAAAGTATACTTATTGATTTTTATCGAATGCAGAAATTGTCTATGTTTTTTCTTTTTTTTTTTTTTATCCAAAACATATTTACACTGTGATGACATCAATTTTCAGATGCATTGCACACACTCTTCGCTCTAGTAAATAATCAAATAGTTTTGTGCTTTATTTTTTTGGTACTTGCCACTTGATTTTTCTTTTTATTGAGCTGTTACTAGCTGTGATATTACTAATGACTCATGGTAAAATCACAATAACTCCAAGAACAAGCTGTACCAGCGAAAAGAGCCTTGTGGAAAAGAATTTATGGACCTCTAGATCCATATCAGGTTGACTCGTGCATTTGCCTCGGCAGCAGCAAAAGTGAACGAACGAACAAACTATTGTCTAAAAGAGCAAGAAAATGGTTGGATTGATGAAAGACGACAAGGGGGGTACATTGCTGAAATACCAGAGCCTTGGCGGAAAGGGCAGAGGACTTTTACGAGCTCATTACAAACTCTCAGAAGCTGAGGTATTTCAGAAGTATAGGATTAACTATACTACCGCCGGCTTTATTTTCATGCTATGAGCTGAGCTAGACATACGTAATTACATATTTATTCCTGATGTACAAATTCGATGTTGTCTTAATTTTTTTTTTTCTCCGTTGCCATCAGTCAGTGTTAATGCATAACTTTTGGGTGTAAGTTACACAAGTTAAAGTAACACTCGTCCAACTTTTTTTTTTACCTCCAACGACTTACACAGAACAAATTTTCACTGCAAATAAAGAAAAAATAATCACCTCTGTCGAAAATTATCAAGAGTTTGTATTACGTAATTATATACTGTTGTCGGATGATTGATATTGCTTATAATAATATAAAAACAAGAAAATGAAATATGCGTGCGCGAGTCAGTCATTGTGTATTTCATTATTTCTGCTAGTATTTTGACCGTATGAAATTATTTCTATTTTCATCGTGATACGTTCAAATTTGTAACTTATCATAAAATATGAACACACCTACTGTTGGACGGTATTTGTTAGGCCTGTAAAAATATCACTCATAACAATGTAACGGAGTAGTAGGAGAAACAGCGCGTTCCGGCTTGTGTAGCGATGAAGCAATAGAGACAAAAGACTAGGCGCTGCTGCAGCTGGCGTCCACCAATTATCGCGTTTTCGTGACATGTATATCAATTCGTCAAGAGATACTCGGTTCCATTAACCTACCATACGCCCATCCATGCAGCATGGAAGCAAATTTGAATTCATGAGTCCA